CCTTCCTCGCTCACACTCTGTCTTTCAAAAACAAACATTAAAAAAAAGAACAAAGTCCCTCAGACATCAAACAATAGCCGTAGTCTGCATTTTGGTGCATATTCTTCATGTATGTAAATGCACGTATATAAACACTAATATGTATTTTCAGCTTTTTCACAGTGACAGTGTATCACTTGTGAGAACGAAGTGTAAAACTTTTTAAAGGGGGAGTGTTTCATATTGTCGAATTTCACCACTCTTCTCTTTGAATTCTGTGAATATATAACTTTCAAGACTTCTCTGGCTAAAGAAGTGCATAGTGTGTTCAATTCTCTAAGAAAAACCGTGTTGACCAGTCGGGGTGGATAAGGTAGACAGTGTATTTTCTTGCTGCTTCCTGATGCAGAGTGAGTTGTTCATAAACAGAACCACTCAAGACACTTGGACTCTTGTCACTTGGCAGTGAGTCCCCAAGTAGTAAACCAGGTCACCACACATAGACTATGATAGCAGGGGACCTCATTGTTTATAGTGTGTGTGCTCTTTGAGTGTTTTTTGGTTTTTTTTTAAGCTTATCTGTTTATCTTGAGAGAGAGAGAACGCCCATGCACGAACCAGCAGGGGAGGGGCAGCGAGAGAGAAAGAGAGAATCCCAAGCAGGCTCCGCACTATCAGCACAGAGCCCCGTGCAGGGCTCGAACTCATGAACTGTGGGGGGTCATGACCCGAGTCAAAATCAAGAGTCGGACACTTAACAGACTGAGGTACCCAGGCACCCTTGAGTGGGTTTTGTCTGAAGTGCTCATGAGTACCACAGGCTACCTACACTTAGTTGTGCGGGCTGTTGACAGGCAGTGCACCCTGGGAAGTTGGGAGCCTGCAGGTTGACGTCTGTTTCTGAGCACAGTTCAGTTGTGAAGGGCTTCGCTACTAGCCCATTAAACCCCCGAGCACAAGCAGAGGCCAGTTTTACTGTTCACCTTTCCTAGAGAAAGCCCCCTCTTCCATCCCGCTTGGTCCAGAGGGGACAGCCAGATGAGTGGAAGAGGGCCATTGAAGGGGGAGAGAGTGGCCTGCAGCTGTCGCTGAAGCCTAGGTGGTGGGTGCAGAAGGCATTAACGGTTCCGTCCATTTCAACTCTGCCGCTCCACGGATGCTGGGTTGGATGATCAGAAATGCACGAGGGTTTTCATGTGCTCGGTTCTGTTTTCAGGGAGAACAGTGCCTCTGGTGTCTTTCGGGTCTGGCACGTACTTTTCACGTAGGTCTACTGAACGTGCACGGAAGCGATGAACAACGTATACTTTTGTGTCTTCAAAGAAGCTTGCAGTTGCCAATTCCGTCTTTATTGTGTGAAGTAGTAACAGAATAAATTCGTTTGCATTATGCTTCCGCTAAAGTGACAATTTCCTGGGGTCTTCGTTTTGACGTAGTGAAGATAAATTAATTGCCATCTCAGTTTGGAAGAATCAAGACCCATTAATATAAACATGTGGGCAGTAAATATTGCTTTCTTACTTATCGAGTTGTTTAATTTGGCAGTTTAGTGTGTTACTTTATAGAAAGTTTGGAAAACAGAAAAAGATTTAAACCTGTCTTCTCTTCTAGTGTTTTTTCATAAACATCTTTCTTTGTAGTTGTAAAATATCATATACTTCGTTAGTGTGTAGATTTTTAATTTAAATTGTGTTTCCTACATTCTTAATCTTTGTGATTCTTTGAAAAGAGTGACTGCTTACTCTTCCATTGGACATCTTTTACCATTTGTGTAAAAAGACATTAAATGTCTTTCTCATATTTTAGGTTATTTTTGTAGGCTTTATTCTTAGAAGTGGGACGAATGAGTCCATTTTTTATGATTTTTGAGACATAATGCTAAAGTGTTTTCTAAAAGATTGTGCTCAGTTAGGTACCTAGAGATAAAGGTTTCAGGTTTATTTTACCCTTCCAAACATAGGGGATTGTACATATTTAAATTTTGATCATTTAGAGAACAATCAAAAATAAGCCTCATTTACATTTGCATTTCTTTGATTAGGCAGATTGATCAATCATGTACTATTTTGCGAATTAGGTTCCTGGATTATATCAGAGTCTTGAAATTTCTTTATCACAATTTGTATGAGCTTTTTAAAAAGTATAAAAACATTGTCGTTTGCTACAGATTTTTTTGTTTAGTTACCTTTTAGTTATGTAACTGTCTTTAGACAGTCAAATATATATATTTTTTTAAGTTTACTCATTTATTTTGTGAGAGAGAGGGAGAGAGAGAGAGTGAGCAAGCAGGGGTGGGGCAGAGAGAGAGACAGAATCCCAGGCAGGCTCTGTGCTGGGCTTGAACCCGTGGACCACGATATCATGACCTGAGTTGAGCCTAGATCAAGAGTTGGATGCTTAACTGACTGAGACACTTAGGTGCCCCTAAGCAGTCAAATCCTAATCTTTTCCTTTGTGGTTTTTTTTTGTTTGTTGTTGTTTTTGTTTTTGTTCGGTCATTTCTAAATTATAAGTTGTTAGGCTCTCGGTAATTTTTCTGACTTTTTGCCTCCTTGGTTTTGAAATGTACATATGCGTGTGTTTATATATGTAGATATCTTTAATTTATCTGGACTTGCTTTTAGGGACTATTATGAAGTGGGAGTGGAAGTCTGACTTAAAGTTTTCTCCTAATTGTTGATGAAATGCTGCAGAATAGTTTGTTTTTCACTGTAACATTAAGAGATGCATTTCCCTTGCTCTGGGATTCAGCTGGGTGTCCATGAAGTCCTGTTAATCTAATGCCTTTCCTTGTTTCCTTTTTCTTTCAAAGTCGGGTTTTTGTTTTGTTTTGTTTTTTTTAATTTACTGGTTTTTTAAAGTTTGTTTATTTACTTGGGGGGGTTAGAAAGAGAGGGGGAGAAAGAATTCCAAGCAGGCTCCACCCCCAGGGCAGGGCCCAACATGGGGCT